TTCCTTCTCCCATGAGTCCCTGCAGTGGTAGTTGGACTGATGAGCCTCTATTTATGACAGAGGGTCATTAGTTCATGGCCGGGGAGAAGCAAGGGAGAATATGTAGCTCTTTATAACGAGCAAAACATCTTTGTTTGCATTTTGGAAGTCCAAATCCCAGAGAGTTCCTTGGCAATTGCTAAATGGGTCTTATTTTTCTCTGTTGTTTTACAGGATTATGAACTACAGGTTGCTTCCTACAGTTCAGGATTAGAAACCTTGCTCAACATACCTATCAAGAAGTGCGTCATTCAGTCTCCTTCCGTGCTGATTCTGCAAGAGGTATCTTTCTTTCCTCCCCTATCATTCTTTTGAATAGATTTGCTAATCCATATGAGACATCGCGACAGCTGTATTCTAACAATTAGCACCGCTATTTGTAAGCGTATACTAAGCATGTACGCGCAGGAAATAAGTGCAGAATAGTTGCTGTGCTGTGAAATAGTGCTTGGGCTCATTTAGGCAGTAACTTCTTGTGTAGATTAACCCTCAGCAATTTATCTCATTTCTATTCAATATCCATTACATACAAGTTATGAGAAAGTAGGATTCTTGCCCCCAAATGGATTAGTCGCTTTCAACCTGGGAATTAACCGTTATTGAAAGTTTAACCTAGGTTACTTGTGCCTGTCAGGAAGAACGTGATGAACCAGGGAATGAAGCCTTGGATTCAATATCACATCTGCTGTGGAGGAAAATAATCTTGAGAAAGAAGGTGTAGGTTTATCAGAAGGGAGAATTTATGTTCTGTAGGACCCCCAGAAAGTCATGGGAAGCTATCAAGAGGAGAATTTTTTTGCTCTTCAAGTGACATGTTTTCTCAAGTGGATTGGAATCCTTTAAGTGATCTGAGACATAAGCGTATTAGTGTGTTCTAGCTGTCTAGTAGAGGCTGATAACAATTCCCTTTTTCTTTTCAAGGCTGCTGAGGCTCAGTCTCGCTACATAGAACTTCTTACAAGATCAGGAGATTATTACAAATTCTTAAGTGAGATGTTAAAGAGCATGGAGGACTTGAAGGTAATCTACCTTTCTTATTTCCTTTACCTTCCATTTTTATCACAGGCTAGCAAACTATCATTGGTCAAAAACTTTCTGCTTTAGTGCAATGCAAAATGGTCCACAAAACTAAGTTCTGAGCTTACTCGCAACCAACAGAAGACTCAGTGGTGTCCCATCAGGGAGCCGTATAAGCAGTTTCATGCATCTTCTGTCAAAGAGTATGGTGTATTGCAGTCACCTCTGGGGTGGAGAACTTTAGCCTCCTTTTGAACAGGAGGTGTTCAACAAAAGTATGCAGCCCTGGTCCATCTTCTCCCATCAGAGCCTTGACCTTGGCGAGCCTGCAGTTATCTGACTGCTGAAAACCTCCTCCTCATGGTCAAGAAGCCATCGCTCATTTCAGGCTATGTCTACAATGTTGGTATCCACTGTTTCAAATGGAGTAACACCTAATTTGATTCAGCGCAGTGGGAAAAGAGAGAAGTCCATTTCAGAAGTCACATATAGGGAATGTGAATCACCTATTAGAAAATGGTGGTGATTCTATGTGATGCTGTCTAAAAGTTCGATGGTGAATTCTTGGTACATCAGATTTTACCATCTGTAGTCCATCTCCACTTCCCCCATCAAATACCTCTTCCCTCTGAAAGTCATCCTGTTGATTTCTGAATAATATCTGACTGAATAGATCAGGATTCCAGAATTTGCCTTGATGACATTAAACAAAAAAGGATTTTGGGCTTCCATTGAGGCAGAGAAAAAAAATTCTTATACATACGTTGTACGAGTTGTCAGTGTTGTGAGTGTATATTGTATTGCGTATAATCATTTTGAAAAAGTTGTCACAAGTGCTTTTTTTCCCCTATTTTCATTTTGCAGATGAAAGCCACCAAAATTGAGCTCCTGGAAGAAGAACTCAGGCTTGCCAGGGATTCAAATTCAGAGACAAGCAACAAACACAAATTCCTGGAACAAAATCTGCAGAAATACCAGCTGGACGTTTCTCAGCTCAAAGCGAAGCTGATGAGTCTGGAAGAGATGAAAAGACAAGCTGAGATGGATGGAAATTCTGCTAAGCAAAACCTGGACAAATGCTATGCCCAGATAAAGGATCTAAATGACAGAATAACCAGACTGACTTATGAGACTGAAGATGAGAAAAGAAAAAGGAAGTTACTGGAGGATAGATATGAGCAGCAGAAGAATGACTATGACCAGTTGCAGAAAACAAGACAAAACGAGAAAGACAGCCTTGGTTGGCAAAAGTTAGAGTCTGAGAAGGTCATCAAGGAGAAGGAGTACGAGATAGAAAGATTAAGGGTTCTTCTTCAGGACGAAGGCACACGGAAGAGGGAATATGAAAATGAGCTGGCTAAGGTAAGAAACCAGTTTAGCGAGGAGATGAGTAATTTAAAGAACAAGTATGAAACTGAAATTAATATTAAGAAGACCACAATCCAGCAGATAGCTGCACAGAAAGATGATGATGCAAAAGGTCTCAGAACCCAGGTTGACAGACTGACAAGAGAAAACCGAGACCTCAAGGACGAAATTGTCAGGCTCAATGATGCCATTCTGCAAACCACAGACCAGCGAAGGAGGGCAGAGGAGGATGCCCTTCAACAGAAGGCTTGCAGTTCTGAGGTGTCGCAGCAAAAGCACCAGTTGGAGCTGGAGCTGAAACAGATCATTCAGCTTCGTGGTGAAGACAACGCAAGGTACAAGCAGGCTCTTGAAGAGGCTGCCTCAACTATCCAGGATAAAACTAAGGAGCTAGAAAGGCTAAAGGTTCAGCTTCAGGAAGAGGCTAAGAGCCGGTGGGAACTTGAAAATGAATTGGCTAAGGTAAGGAACAGCTATGATGAGGAAATAATTAGTTTAAAGAACAAATATGAAACTGAGATTAATATCACAAAGACCACGATTCACCAGGTCACCATGCAAAAGGAAGAGGACACAAATAATTATAGAACTCAGCTTGATAATGCCGTGAGAGAAAATAGGAATTTGTGTGAGGAAATTAGGAGACTGAAGAACACAATAAGTCAAACAACAGATAATCTACGGAAAGTAGAGGAGAGTGCTCAGCAGCAGAAGGCAGCTGGCTCTGAGCTTTCTCAGAAGAAACAGCAGCTTGAGATTGAACTAAAACAAGTTATTCAGAGACACTCTGATGAAAGCATGCGATACAAACAGTCGCTTGATGATGCTTCTAAGACCATTAAGGAAAGGAACAAAGAGATTGAAAGGCTGAGAAAGTTGTTGGATGTGGAAACAAGTCAAAGAAAAGAACTAGAGGATGAGAACAGTCAGTTAAAAAGAGTTCAGTTTGACCTGCAGAAAGCAAACACCAGTGCAACTGAGACGATCAACAAGCTGAGGATCCAAGAGCAGGAACTAGCCAGACTGAAAATTGACTATGAAAGAATTTCTCAAGAGAAAAAAGGAAGGGATCAAGAAAGCGCAAAGTTCCAAAGCACTGTAAAGGACTTGCAGATCCAGAAACATAAGCTGGAGGAGGAACTTTGCAGGCAGAATAAAAATGCAGCGGAGGAGACATCCAGGAGGAAAAAACTGGAAGAGGAAATAGAAAACATGAGGAGATCTCTGAGAGAACAATCAGTTAAAATCACTAATCTCACGCAGCAGATAGAAGAAGTGTCTATTGTAAAGAAAAGGAATGAAGATGATCTAAGACACCAGAGAGAAGTATTAGATGGTCATGTGAGAGAGAAGCAGAGATACATGGAGGAGATAAGAAAATACACATCTGATATTGAGACTTTACGCCGTCAGTTGGTCCAAGAACAAGAGCAATTAAAACAGGCTCACCTACGATACGAGCACTTACAGAAAACCTCTGAGGAGAAAAGCAAAAACTTGAATGAGTGCAAAATAGAAATTGAAAGGCTTCAGTCTCTCACCGAGAACCTAACCAAGGAACATTTGTTACTAGAGGAAGAGCTGCGAAATCTTAGATTGGAATATGATAACCTCAGAATGGTCAGAAGTGAAGTTGATGAGAAAAATACTGCCATTGCTGAACTAAAGAATCAGCTCCAGATGAGCAGCAAGCAAACCTTGGAACTTCAGGGGTTGATTAATGATTTACAGAAAGAAAGGGAAAAATTGAGACAGGAAATTGAAAAATTCCAAAAGCAGGCTCTGGAGGTATTCACACATATTTTGATCCTGACTTTACTGTCTCTCAGATTAATTAATTGCAATGTCCATATGAATTCGGCTTAATTCCCACCGTGTTATTTTAAGTTCACTGTACTTGTGACTAATACCCCTTTTAGGACCTCTCCGCTTGTCCATTTTTAAACAATAAGGGCAAGTGTTGGCCACTTCCTCAGTTCCCTTACTCCCTGAGAGCTGTGTTAGGGAGCCATAACCTGTCTTAATCATCCAGCTGAACCTCGCCCTCAGGGTCTGCACCAGTCTCCACCACACCATCCTAAGGGGAAATGGGAGTACCTGGTGTAGCACTGTGCTTTAGCTGTACCTTGCTGGCGGCGTGCTTCTCAGGGCTGTTTCCACTATGATGGGTTACAGTAGTCCTTTGAGGCTGACCTAAGTTGTGTCGTGAACCAAACCATCTAAAATCCCCAGAATCAACAAGCTATCAAGGTGCTGCTTAGCTGGGTAAAATGAGTCTTGGCTGCATCTAAGGATTAAAGGTGACATTTTCAGCTGTACCTAAGAGACTTAAAGCCTAAATTTCATTTACTTTTGGTGGGATTTATGTTCCTAAGTAAAGGCACTTGCAAATTTTACCATCAGCCCTTATTTCTTCAACTTGAATCTTAGGTGATAGCCCAGAAAAGTAAAAGAGAAAGTACGTTTTGTCTTTCATTCTTCTACCTAGCTTCTTGTCCAAAAGAGCTATTCCTATATATGCAAGTGAGCACTTGTGAAAATGTTTCCTTTTCCCCGTACCCTCTATATTCCTTTTTTCATTCCAATTCTCAGTTATTCCTTCCCTTATTCAATTTTTCTTTCCTTTGTTTTAAAAATCTTAATACTGATTTTAAAAAGATTAATATTTAGCATTATTTGACATCAGTACGTATATATACACATATATTACAAATATATAAACTCATCTTCAGTTTCATATGGACTGCACACATGTTTATTTGTGTTTGTGTATATGTATACATATATGGAGACATTAAGTGAATGAAAACAGGTGAAAGCAAAACAGGTGAAATATTTTGAAGTGACATATGAAACTAATAGAAAAAGAGAAAAATGAGTTATATTTATCCTTTTTACACATTTATGGCCTGTCCTTAGCTGGTATAAATTGCCCCAAGTCTATAGGACTATGGCAGTGTGCCTCTGCTGTAAAAAAAAAAAAATAATAATAATAAAAAAATATATATATATATTTAAAAGTTAAAAAGAAGTGAGTACATCACCATCAAATCAAGGCTCTATGTAGTAGAATGCAATCTCTGTGGTACTGGAGATACTTTCAGTGAAGGGACGTTTGTCTCTTCACTGTTTCAGATGTATCCGTTGTGTTGGGTAAGACACAATATTATGCCTAGGCTGTCTTCCATTGTCAATTTGCTGTAGGTTAAGTGATAGGCTAAAGAGCTTTGTAAGTGGAGAGTATAACTCTAACTGTCTTCTCTTGGATTATTTCTTCTTTTACATTTTAGGCATCCAATAGGATTCAAGAATCCAAGAATCAGTATAGTCACATTATGCAAGAAAGAGAGACCTTGTTGATAAAAATGAGTGCTTT